AGAAAAATACTGTATGATTTCATTCTTTTGTGGAATATAAAGAAACAAAATGAATGAATAAACAAGATAGAAACAGATCCTTAGACTCTGACACCAGAATGGCAGTTATCACAGGGGAAGGAGTGAACTTCATGAAGAGGGCACAAGGGTTGTTTTTGGTTGGTGAATGGATATTTGGCAGTGGGTATGATGTGACACATACAGTGGCTGAGGTGAGAAACTATACTGGAAACCTATGTAGTATTGTTAACTTCATTTTAAAGCACAAAACTCAGCTGATCTTGTTGAGGTTTGGAGTTACCCAAGACTATACCTCGTTATCTTCTTCCATTCCCAATGGATAGACTATTGTGTTACCCCTGAATGTGCTCACTTGTCTCCCACTTCTTCATCTGGCTAATTCCTTCTCTCACATCACATCAGGGTTCTCAGTCATGGAGGAGTTTTCTAAATTGCAATCTTCTCAGATGTCGCAGCAGTTCAGTCTACTTTTATCGTGGTACACAGTACTACTCTGTTAAAGTGGGTTATTTCTCTACAAGGTCAAATACTGAGAACTGATCTCACTCATTCATATTGTCTTTCCTGTACCTTGTAGATTAATCAAGACAAAGTAAACATTCAAGAAGTGTTTGTTGAATGGATGAATTAATGAAGGAAGGAAGGAATAAGAATTTCTAAAAATATGACTTAAAGCATATCTCCTTTGTATGTTAACTAACACAAACATAATCAACTCTAGAACCTCCAACATCATAGAAAAGAAGCAAGCAATATTACATTACTTTGATTTCTCAGGAATACTATGTTTTGCTCAAAATAGCTAAGCACCACTATGAGGTTGACTCACAAGGAGTTTGTTAATCATCCAGGTTCAGTGTTATATCTCTAGATCTAGATATATAGATATCCAGAAATATTAAAACATTTTTGAGGTACTATACTACCTAGAGATAGGGAAAACCATTTCAGATGAATAATAATCACCACCCTAAAAAAAGCCACTTTTGAGTATTTTACCTGGAGGTATGAACATTTTCCCAGAGCGTGTTACAAGTTACATTTTCACTTACTAATTTATCCCTTGTCTGTAAAGGTGTATGTTTGTGCACATATGCTGCAGGGCAAAGGGTAAGATCTGTGATGTGTTCACAGACAATTTACAGAGCTGCAGATACCCTCAATAAAGAAGTGGGATTGACCCTCCCTGGTGGTGCAGCGGGCTAAAAACAGTACTGAGAGCTAAAGCCACTGCCCTATGAGTTCGATCCCCGCCTGCCTGTAGGTGATCCACATTGCGCTGCAGACTGCTCTTGACCCGCCTACTGCTCCCCTTAGCAGTGTACTTCGTGGATCTGCCTGTTCTGCTCCCCACTCTGTCTCTGGTGAAACCTCTCACCGCTTCTGCACCTCTGCTCTGTATCCCAGTTCTGTATGCACAAATAAATCTTAAAAAAAAAAAAGTGGGATTACATAAACACACACACACAAACACATACATATACTCCGATATTTATTTGTAAAACATATATATAAGCATACGCAGAGGGATATGTGTGTGAGTGTGTGTTTATGTATGTAGTGTTTGCTATGAAGCACTGCTGTGAAATTGTTTTCCCTTCACGCCAAATGCCTTAATCCCAGAGTGCTGGTATTTGGAGGATGGGAGTTTAGGATGGGAGTTTAGGACGTGATTACACTCAGGTGAGGGTTACACTTAGATGAGACATCAGAGAGTTTGCTGCTTCTCTCTCTGACATGTGAGGACACAGAGAAGATGGCCAACTACAAATCAGGAAGAAAATTTTCACCAGAACCAACCAATGCCGTCTGAAACTTTGCAGCCTCCAGAATAACGAGTAATAAACGTCTTTGCATAAACCCCCTGTTTATAGTCTTTTGTTAGAGCAGCCAGAGCTAAGACAGGCACGCTGTGCACTACATCAGTGTGGAAACCCAAGCAGATGTGCTTTATTTGAAATCTAAATGCCACTTATAGTAAGATACAGAGAAAATATTTTCTGCTCATCTCATTTCCTATCTGAATTACACTAAATGATCGGTTTTGATAATTCAGAGGTGGTTTGTGGGTAAAACCTCTAGCTAGTACTAAATATGAATGACAGAGTAGCACCAAGTCTTCCTTTAATATCCACTTAAAATGGCTAAAATCCATTTTCCATATCCAGTGTGAAATAGCACCTGTCTATTATTTCTGACACCTCTAATTTTGAATTCCTCTATTAAATTCTTATTTATTTACCTTTCCATCATTGCCTAGGATTGTTTTTTGTCTATCCATTCAGTTTTTTATTCATTATTTCCCTTTTCTAAAAATATTGATTAAAAATACAATTTTATCAGCATTTTAAAATTGAAAGATGTAAGACAATGGATGAGAAAGAAGCACAGCCAATATTATCATTGTCTTTATGTCTGCCTACCTGTCTCTAAAAATCCACTCAAATTTTCAAGATCTTTCTTTTTAACTTGTTATTTCCCTCAAATCCTAAATTCTTTATTCTGCAGGGCAATTTTACTTTCAAGCTTTATCCTATTTTTGGCCCTGTGACTAACTTTCTAAATCTAAGAAGATCCATTAACAACCTTCCTCATTAAAGTTGGCAGCCTCTGAAATAAATGATAGTAGCGCCTGAAAAATATAAGCATGTTACAGTAAAAAACTGGCAGAGAGAGAAAGGGGGCATGAGAGAGTAGAGGCACCTTATGTGTCTGTTCCTTTCTTATATACCTGGGGGGGGGCAGTCTTACTGAGAGAAAAGGTTCATTCAGGAGCCATTTCTGTCCCAGTAGGGTGCTGTGTGTAAGTTCATTGAGCTCTATTATTCACACCATGTGGATCTTTATGTTTATACACAGGTAGAATGCTTTCTTGTTAAATAAAATGTCAAAAATTCAGTGCACCTCTGAGAATTTAAATACAAATCCTCAACAACAAATAATTCTTCTAAGAAGTTACAAATGAACAAGATAAATTTCAGGCTTAGTGTTGTCTTTCCTATAAAAAACACTTTGTTTTTCAACTTCATTAAAATAAATCATTTCCCCATGTGCACAACAATTTATATTGTGAATAATTTTTGCCCTTTTTTGTAATAATTCTAGAATTATAATCAATTGAAATAAATGTCCCTTACTGTATTTTACACTGAAAAATAAGTTTACTCAATTCATTCTGTATCTTTATATATATTTGATATTTTATCACATATAAGTCCAAAATGTTTTGATACACTTTTAGTTTAAAATGTGAAACCTTAAAAAGCTTTAATTAAACTTCAATTAATATAATACTTAGCATATTACTTTTGAGTAATTATGTTATTTCCTTGAAGTAAAATTGAATTATGATGATAAATCAATTCACCACTGTCCCTTCCCCCATGGATTATGGTTTAAATAACTATTAGTTAAAATATGACAACTTTTTCTGTTATTATATTTATAGTCATATTGATGGAGATTTCATTTTATTTACTGAATTATATTGATTTTGCAAGTTCCTAAAAGGCTCTTGGAAAGAACAGTAATGGAATGGATGGATGCATTGCCTTGTAGATCAATCAGTGAGAATTTCATGGATTGTAAAGTGAGGACAAATGTACCGAGGTCAGCATTTCTCTTCCTGCTGCTCTTTCTGGAATTGCAGCCAGCAACTTATTAGTACTAGTTACATACTTTCTGGAATAGCAAGTGAACGAGAGCACAATGCAGCAGAGTTTCTTGGCAAGCAGTTGCATTCTCTTAACTGCTTTAATTCTGGTGATTGCATTAGTGCAGTTCATCTCTGATGAAATGCTCTCTGCCAAGACCTAGGAATATATCAAATAGGAGCTGATGCCTAATTGTTTTGTGCAGGGTTTGCAATTGCAGATACAGGCATGGATGGACATAAGTGCAGTTGCAGTAGAAATGAAAAAGTAAACAAGTAGTTTTGGTAATATTTTGTTTTGTTCTCTTTAATGTTATTTCATGGAACACAATAATAAATAGTGTTACAACTAGACTGTTGCATATGTGTGTGAGTATATGTACAGGCCTATGAATAAATATGCAAATATATGTATATGTGAATGTGTTTATACCCAAATAAAAACTATGTCCATTGCAATCATTTGACTGTATATTAAGATAGTAGAATTCATTCTGTGGTGTATATAGGATCTGCTATTTGGAAATTGCAAGTACAATTGGATTGTGATATATGGATAGGATATAGAGAATATATGCAAAGAACAACCAACTGAATAGCATGTAAGATCACTGGAGAATCTACAGTCGGAGAAATTGATTCCAAGTCTCCTCCCTGTGCTGCCATCTCCCCCAACCCTGAAAGATAGAAAATGAAAAAGCAAATGTCAATGCTCAATGACAGTTCTATTGTCCCTTCCTTTGGACTGCTGTTGTGGAGTTATGTAGTATAAATTTATTCCTGGCATTTGTGACAGGAGGGTTCAGAGTCCAAGGAATCTGGGAGCAGAGACTGAACCAATGGAAAAGTGATGCAACAGCTAACGGCTCATCTCAGAGCTGAACATGACCTTTTGGCTACATCCAAGATTCATTTCGTGCAGTGGATCCTAGGAAAGCTGGGATGTTATAGCCTGGTACACTTGGTTTTGTATAACCACTGAGAAAACTAAATATAAATGATGGGTAATGACAACAAATTACCCATCTAAACTAAGAAATTTCAATGTGTATTCTAGGCTACGTGTTAAATATTTGCTATGTGTACTACACGGTATTTTTTTAAAATTGTATTTCCTAACTAATTTTTAAAATAATAATATCCTGGAATTTTGAATTGCTAGGATAATAAGTGAGCAGGAGTGGGGACAGTATTTAACGAATCTAAATACTTGGGAGCACAGGAACTATCACAAGGATTGTGGTGCTAAAAAAAACCTTTGTTATCTAATTGTATTATCTGTCCTAATCTCTTTCCAGCTTTTTAATCTTATTGCACTGGCTCCCTCTTAAATTCACAGAAGCAAACTGTAAGTAAATGTCTCTCATCCCTGACTTCCCAGACTCATTTTGTAAACATGGCTAGATTTCTAGGAAGAGAACATCTGTTTTGTAGCTCATTCACTCACAACATGCTTCTGTGATCTAAGGGTAGGTGAGAAAGATTAAAAAGGAACTGAAGAATTTGAAGGCATGGATCATTAGCAGCTTAACTTTTGGATAATTATTTAGCCTCTTTAAGTCTCTATCAATTTCTTATACAATAAGGGAAACTTTATAATGCTTAAGGCTTAAGGCTTTTACTGTATACCCAGGGGACAACAGTAAACTCAGGATTGCTATCTTTCTATGTGCTTATCATTTTATGTAGGGCAAACATATAACCCTTCTAATGTCTCACTTTTTACTATTTGTCTTACTCAATGGATTGCCAATATTTCCTTTTCCCCATAACTCATGACATTGTAAGGGTCCTTATAGATTCATTGTAGATCCATTTTATAAAGGTGTATCACTGCTTGTTCTAGGATATGAAAATTCTGGGTGTAGGAAAAGTTAGAAATACAAAGTCAAAATGAGACCAGGAGGAATTCTTCTTAGTTCAAATGATCCATATTTTTGTTCTTTAGTAATGAGAAAAGTTGGTCACATCAGTGGAAAATTGGTAAGGATTTGTGGGTGTGTTGAAGTACAAAGGTGGATTTTGTTTATGTACCAATGCCAAAGTTTCTTAACATCAAAGATATGAAACTAATTAAATCATTTAAGAAGTGAATTGTCTTTTGTGTGAGGCAATATATTAAGCTTCAAAAAATATACTAATATAACTCACATATCAACTTTATTCACAAGAAATTTATTGCATGGTTTTAAGTACCAAATGATTGAAACTGTCTAGGGAATGTTAATAAATATATGTTGCTAAGTAAATATATGATTTCTAAATGTAATTTTGAATTTTCATTGATGAAGCAGTAAACAGCATTGAACTAAGAAACCTGAGGTGAATCGAAGAGGAAAAGGAAACTTAAGTATGTTCCTTGATCATGTTTCATTATGAATGGTACTTTTGGAGCTATAATAATTTAATAAATGTCCACCTATTTAGTAACATTGCTGTCTTGAAACACTTTCCTCAAATTTAAAATCGTGAATTTTAACATGAAGACCTATATATGTTTTGCTTCATATTACATTAAATACAATGTGAGCTAGGCAGTAAATACCATTTCTTTCCATTGAATTACTGTATTGATCCAATTTGGAAATGAACATTTTCTTTTCTTTTTTTTGAGCATTTTCTTTTTAAAAAGAAAATTTATTTATAAATACAGAACTGAGGTACAGGCCAGAGGTTCGGGGGTGGTGAGAGGATTCACCAGAGACAGAGTGGGGAGCAGAACAGGAGGATTGACAGAAATACACTGCTGAGGGGAGCAGTGGATGAGACAGGAGAGGTCTGCTGTGCCATATAGATCACCTCCCTTGCCGGGGATCAAACTCGTGCTGCAATGACTGTGGACAGCTTCATAGTGCTGCACTTTAACCCTTGGCACCACCAGCAGGGCCCAGGAGAAACATAATTTTAGACCAGAGACAGAAATATTAGCCAACGAAATAAATTGTTATTGAAAATTGGAATTATTCGAGAAGTTATATTGACTCTGACTAGCCTACATGGAAGCTATGCGGGAAACTGCCAAGGCCTTATTGATCTACTGTGAAGTGACCTGGGCTTTACTGAAAACTCTCCAACCTTATTTTTCAATCATTCCATATAGAGGAAATGAGTAATGAGGGTTACAGGAAGGTGCCTCTAAAGAACTTGAAGATAATAGAAATATGTTTCCTTTTGGAAGTAAAACAAGAAATCAAAATGTAGTGATAATAGAAATCTACTCATTGGCCTACTTAGAAAAGCATAGTCAAAGGAAGAATGCATTGACATGCATAAATTCTTTCAGAGAAACAAAGTTTAAATGTTCAGACCCAGTATGATTTAAGAAGACAGACTCCACATTTGGGAAATTTAGCGTGTTCATGAACAGTGTTCTTTATTGTGGGAAGTCTCAGCATGTGTTAAGTAAGGCATTCTCCCTGTTGATCATTGAATGTTGCTTTCATTCTGTGCTGTCAGTACACCTACCAATCCAGTTGTTGGCTGTAAATGTCGGAAGGGATGTGTACATTATCTTTTACTATGAAGTAGTAAGTTGGTGTTCTTAATAATACAACTATTCTGTGAAAATTTGGTAAGAGTCATTTTACCATTTATTTCAAGATGCAGTATTAAGTCTGTTTCTGTCCTTGAAAGAATACAGATCAGAAATCATGTAAATCCACCCTGTTTCACCCTATGAAATCACTTTGTGTCTACTTCCTTTGGAGTTTCTGTTGCAAGAAAGTCCAAATCTGGAGTTCCCTGGTGTTCAATTGATCTTTTCTTATTAAATGTGTATGCAGATCTGCTAGGAGAATCATCAGGTGTTACATGATTTTCTGACAAATATATGCAGGGATAGCTGGCTGAATGCCTAGGTCAGCGTGTGGTAAACACAGCTGGCTGATTGATCAGGACCTCATTTGATGACTATGGAATACTTAAGTGTTTCATGCACTTCTCCACTAGGGTTGCTCAAAAGCAAACATTCCTAAGGTTTTAGGTACCCAGTATAAATATATTTAAGAACGGGATAAAAACATGGCTGAGCTCTAGCTAAGATTCTACTGAAAACCAAAGATTCAGCAATTCTGACAACTCAATTAATTTACCCATCTTTCATTCCATATTTGTTTTGGCTTTCAGGGGGTAGTACTGATTGACTTTTACTAAACCCTAGGGGAAAACACTATAAATGAATTGATAGTTACATAAATGCAATATTTGTCAAGGCACTAAGTGCTAGGATCACATTTTCCAAGTTAAGCACTCCTAGGCTACTCCATGCATATTGAGCTGTCAAGAGGGTCTGTGGTCAAGTACATAATTATTTGAAATGTTTATATCAATTGATCTTTTTTCCTTTAATATCTAATATTTCTCCAACATGTATTTGTCAAACATCTTCAATGTTACAAGGAATGGAGAAATTGTATGACTTTAGTTTTTTATAGTTAGTATTGCTTTCCATACAGAGAGATGACTTCCTTATCTATTACTACCAATGGGTAGTGTTGCAAATGAATATTCATTTAGAATTTTTATGGCCTTAGTTCCCCAAATATAACTGTCTTTGGTTACTCAAGCCACAATATGTCTCTTTGTCTTTACGTATAAGATGATAATATTAACTCCTAAACCTTAGTATTGTTTTGAGATAAAATAAATTCAAATTTATGAATGACTTAGCATGATGCTTAGAACATTTTAAATGTTACAAACTAGTTGGGTGTAATTATTGCTTGATGTGTATTTATTTGGGTATTAATTGGGTACTGGGGCATCTTACAAAGATGTTTCCAGATAACAGAATTCTACACTTGACCTTAGTCAAAAGGCTGAGAAATATTTATATAGCATTCTAATTTACAAAAAATTACTCTGACTTGTGAATATTAATTAAACCAGTCTCTTACTCAATTAGATGTACAATATTTGTTCAATACAATCAAATATTTCTCCCCTCCTTTCTTTTTATATTGTGCTGTTACCATGCTATGAATTTTCTAACAAAGCCTATATTACTAAACTGAGACAAAAACATAATGAAGATTGTCAGAATTTGCAGATGTGATTTAGTGATTTGATAGCTATCCACATTTATCTGAAAGAAATTTACTTTCATTAGTTGCATCTGGTCAATATATCTAGTCAATATATTATCTCTGCTTAAACAGTAATAGCTGAGGCTGGATATATCTTTTCTACATAAAAATTTTTTGATTTTAAATTCTTGGGATCATTGGGTGAATAACACCAGCATTATCTGATAAAAGTGAAGGTAATTTCTCATATTTGGTAACTATCGCATTGCATTGTACGACTTAAGAAGTTTTCCTGTGAAGCTCTTAGTTTAACGAACAGCTGTATGATGTGGAACATAGATCGCTAACATAAAACAATACAACAATTTAGTTTTACCATTAGAAGCATTAGTGTAGCTTATGCAGTTAGCTCTTCATTTTACACATGCAGCTAACCTTAAGGTCACGTTCACTCTGGAATAGGTTTGCTCTGAACCTGTGTCTTTGTCTCATGCAATGATTTCTAGTCCACATCATGCAAAGCAATTTCAGGAAGTGCTTAATTTAGAGTGATTTCATTTCACACATGGACCATAGGGATCCCACTTATATGTCCTGTCCTACAACAAGCTTTCATAATTCCCTGTTCTGCTGCAAAGTTTACTATAGATAACAGCATGAGATACTATTGTTTAAAATATTTAATCTTTTCAACTCTTCCTTCTCTGGACTAGGAAGAAAATGTAACTCTCCAATGTATGAAGACATTTTTCTTTTTCTTTCTACAGTATTATTGGCTTCAGGAGGCAGGTCAGTGAGTTTTAGGAGGAAAAGACTGAGGAATTCTGTGATTGAAAAGAGAAAAAGCTTTAGAGAAATCAAGTTATGTTTAGTGTCACCTTGACATAGTAAAGATTCAAAATACTGTTGTTTTTAAATGAAAAATTGTGATTTTAAAGGTTTGAAAATAATTATTTACATGCCAATTACATATACTTTCTTCAATTCACCTGGTCTTTATAGTAACTTAAACTGATGTTTATCTTGATAAAAACCTACTTTAATTTACGATTGGATACATGTTGTAATTTAAGGGAAGATATTTAAGTCCATGAAGTAGAATACTGTAAAACAGTAAACTGTTCTTTATTAGAAAGACACATTTAATATGATGTTGAGTTCATCTAAACTAATAAGTGAAAAGATTGAGTGACAGACATCTAAAGTTGATTTTTCCTAAAGCTTGGTTCTGTAGCAGAAAACAGAGGAGAAATGTTACAGTGAGACAAGAAACTATTTCACTCAGTTTTGATATATTCAAGAAGGAATGTGTGGCCTTCTGCCA